GACCCCGCCACCGGGGACCTCGTCGGGACTTCTCCCGAGTTCAATGGCAAGGATACCGAAAATGCCATCGCCGCAGCTGCCGCAGCGTTTCCCCTCTGGAGGACGAAAACCGGCCGCGAGAAGTCCAGATACCTGCGAAAGTGGTACGACCTGATGGTAGAAAACAGCGAGGATCTCGCTAAGCTGATTACGTGGGAGAATGGAAAGCCCCTCGCGGACGCGAAGGGAGAAGTGGCCTACGCTGCGAGTTTCTTCGAGTGGTTTAGCGAAGAGGCGCCAAGGATATATGGCGACTCGATACCGGCCTCGGTGCCGGGGAACAGGGTTATAACTATCAAGCAACCCGTTGGCGTCTGCGGTTTAATTACGCCGTGGAACTTCCCCGCGGCTATGGTCACACGTAAACTTGGTCCTGCCCTGGCAGCCGGCTGCACGGTTGTTGTCAAGACGCCCGGAGAGACGCCATTTACGGCTCTAGCCTTAGCTGAGCTGGCGCACCGTGCTGGAATTCCAAAAGGCGTTGTCAACTTCATCACGACCTTACAAAACACACCCGAGGTCGGGGAGACGCTAGCGACTCATCCCACCGTGCGGAAGATTTCATTCACCGGGTCAACGCAAGTGGGAAGACTCCTTATGAAGCAGGCGTCTCCCACTCTGAAGATTCTATCCATGGAGCTAGGAGGCAACGCGCCGTTCATTGTTTTCGACGATGCCGATGTCGACGCGGCGGTTGCAGGTGCTATCGCCTCCAAGTTCCGCTCATCCGGACAGACTTGCGTATGCGCAAATCGGATATATGTGCAACAGGGTATATATGACGAGTTTGCCAAGAAATTCGCTGAGAAGGTCAAGACATTCAAGGTCGGTAACGGGTTTGATGAAGGTATTACTCACGGACCTCTGATCCACGACCGTGCCATCAAAAAGGTAGCCGCCCACATCAAAGACGCTGAGGAGAAGGGTGCCAACGTTGTTCTTGGTGGGCAGCAGATACCGGACCTGGGCGCCAATTTCTACCAACCCACCGTTATCACAGGCATGACGAAGGACATGGCTATTTCGGCTGAGGAGACCTTTGGACCCGTGGCCGCTCTATTCCCTTTCTCGACCGAACAAGAAGTTGTGGAACTAGCAAACGCCGCTGAAGTTGGTCTAGCAGGGTATTTCTTCTCTCGAGACCTAGAGCGGATCACAAGAGTAGCTGAAGCTCTGGAAGTGGGCATGGTAGGAGTTAACACTGGTCTGATCTCCGATACTGCTTCGCCATTTGGTGGCGTGAAGCAATCCGGATTTGGTAGGGAGGGATCTAAGTATGGCATCGAAGAATACTTGAACATTAAGACGATAACATGGGGAGGCATGAACAAGCCATTGCAGAGCTGAATTAGTCCTCACAATGTAATCTAAATACCGGCGTTCATGACTGGGGAAGGAACAAATAATTCTCAAGACCGAAAAATACAAACTAGAACAAATAAAATTACCTTAGCTATTGTCATTGATCATTTAACTTGAATTACTCTTCAAAAGTTCTAGATCGCAAATTAGAAAATGTGAGCGAGGCGCGGGCGGGTTGATATTATACCGCATATAAGAATATCAAGAGCATAGATACATGGATACATCTTCTTACATGCATATTCACAAAACGCAACAGCCGCCAAAGCTTCGGGGAATTTGTTCCTCATCAAAATCTCGAAAATTTCAAGACTCAATTGACGCCAACGTCAACGGCCACCACACAGCAATTGGGTCGCAATGATTCGGCATCCGCTACACTCGGCCGTCGGCCGCGCGAGGCCAGGCCTCTGCCGAGTCACCGACGGCTTCGCGGCTTCGCTGCGGCAATTTTCCGTCTCCGCACAACGATGCAACCCCGACGACAGCAGGGACGACGGCCCCAGGAAGCCTACCGGTCGCCAGCGTGCTGCGGCGGCTGTCGATGAGATTGTCGCGATGGAGGGTCGCGCAGCCTCGCCGTCGAGACACACCTTCGCCTCGAGTTCGGGATCGAGACCCGAAGCTAGGTCGTCAAGTACGCCTCCGGCCGGCGCGCAAGGTCCCAAGATCATCACCCTGACGAGCCTGCCGCGTGGAGGCTTGAATCGCAACGCCTTTAGAAAGGTCGACCCTATAAACGGCGGTGGCGGCAACGGAAATGGCTATGGCGATGGCTCCGATCGAAACGCTTCCGGCCCAAACATCATCAGAGGCGGTTTCCGCGGACGAGGAGGCAGTTCTGCCCCTTCATACAGAATAGGCGGCGCCGTGCGACGAGGAAGAAGTGGTGGCGGCGGTGGCGGTGGCAATTTTAATAGGGACGACCGGCCGCGCCGATCTGCAAGAGCCGGTGGTGGTGGTGGAGGTCGTGGTCAGGGTCGGGGTCCGCGTGGACGACGACGAGACGACAAGGGGGGCAAGGACGGCAAGGACGACAAGGACGGCGGGGAGGAGGAAGTACCAGAAATCGAGCCCAGAATCATGGAGTACCTAGAAGCAAAGGAGACCGGCACGACTATGCCCTTCAACCCATCCCTCTCGCTAGAGTCGCTCACTGGCTGGGGCCCCGCCGTAGCCACGTCCGGCACGCCGTTCGGACAGGGCGAGATCGTGATGCGGCAAGCCAGGATCCTGGGAGGCGGCCAGCATTTCCACCCACAACACATTATGAATTCACACGAAACTCTCATTGCGTACCGTGACGGAAATGGCGCCTTTATACCACCGTCCAATGAAGCGAAGCAGTGGGCGAAGCAAGTGCTCAAGGACAGGCCCATTGTTGCCCCGCCCGAGGTCAAGACCGCGGTGCTGGAAGACGCCCTGCTGGGCAAGTATGACGGTCCCAAGTACGCGGATCCGGAGGACGCGGTTGGAACGATACGGAGCTATGTCAAGAGGGACGGCACGTGGAATGTGCGAGCTGAGAGAGGCATTGAGGAGAAAGTTAAGACTTTACTGTCTGGGGGTCAGCCGGCTGCGAATGCTGGTGGTAAGGAAGCAAGACCCAAGGCTTGATTGCAGTCTAGGTTAGGTCATTGAGAATTGGGATGCACATATAGAGGTCGAGAGGGACTCTAGATTCTTGCTCCGGACCTTTTTGTACCATCACGAGACAAGACGCTTGTAAGAACATCTAGTCTAGTGTACATATATATTATACACGGGCGTGCACATCTCTGCCAGCTACCTTCTGCTAGACTTTTCTTTGTTTGTGTGTTCATTCTGCACTGGCTTTGTGCACATTTTAGGTATCAGCCCTCTGAAGCTATGGATTTTACTTAGTCTCAGCATCCTTGAGCGCCTGCTTCTCGGCTTCATCGATCTCCGTCATCTTGGCCTTAATGATCTTCTCGAGCTCCTTATCCGCCGTCCTCTTCAAATCCGGGCCCATCGAGCCGTCTTTCCTCCATGTCGTGTGCAGCTTATCCCGCTTCTGCCTCACGGCGCGTACTCTCTCCCTCCAGTCGTGGCACATGGCCCTGACCCTCTTCAGCAAGTCGTCCCGCCTCTCGGGCTCGATCTTGAGGATCAGCTCCAGCTCGTTGTCCGGGTCCCGCTGCGGCTGCTGGTTGAAGTCGGCGCTGGCCTGGATGGCGCTCATGATGGGCTTGACGTACTCCTCCTCGTGGACCAGGATCGAGATGGTGCGGCCGCCCCGCGGCACGATCTGCGCCACCTCCTTCAGCGGGTACGTGGCGCCGCTCTTGCGGTCGGGCTGCACGCGCAGCGCCCCCACGATGTCCGGGTTGAAGCGCCCGCCCGTCTTCAGCTTCTTCAGCGCCTCCCGGAAGTGCTCGTCGTGCCGCTTGTTGCGGGACTTCACGTCCGCGAAGTCCAGCGGCTCCTCGGGGTTCGGCGTCGGGTACTTGGATCCGTCGCTGCCGTCCTCGTCGGCGGCGGCGGACCGGGACGCGGCCATCTCTTTTGCATGCTCCTCGCGGATTTCGCGCTTTTTCGCTTTGGGGTCTTTCCAGCCGGGTTCCCGTGATTTACCCTTATAGGCGGGAGTACCGGCGTGGAATGTGCGGTGTGTGCTGGGCGCTGAGCATGGTTGGAGTTGAAGGTATTGGGCGTGTTTCGAAGTGCCCGCAATGAAGGCCGGTCGAACTACATCTTGGCTGCTGTGATAGGTGTTAGACGATGAGGTTGCCAATGGGGCCAATTGGAGAAACTGACACTCTTGCAAGCTCAGAACGAGCGAGGCCTTGTCGTAGAAGTGCTCTGGCAACTGTATTTCGCATGATTTCTTGAACGCGCGGCAGTTCGTGAGCTAAATTTTTAAGTTAGGCTTGTTGGAGTTGCCCACAGACCCCTATCTCAAGTTGCTTATCGATAGACAGATATCTAGATACCTACTCTGCACCTTCCTCGCCGCAACATCCCGTCGAGTCCGGCAACTTCACGGAGGGAAAGAGCGAGCTGGTATTCCGGACGGGCCTATTTATAGTAATAACAAGCTTAATTGCTGGGAATGCCTGATAAGAGCCGCACTTCTCGGGCAAGTCTGACATATTATCTACATTGCTTCAGTGTCATGTCTTGGACATTCATGCCTCTAGTTAAAAGCTTTACGTTTTGCAGTTCCATACAACTTAGATCTGATAATATACTGTCGAACACGTAGGAAGTAATATCTATCGCCTCGGGAAGCTGAGAGACATGATATATACCTTTCAGTAGCATAGGGATTTGCCGTATTACATCGAGTTTGCTTAGACACTTGAGCTTTATGTTCATAGGTAATCTACATAATTGCTAGTTCATGGACCGGGTACTAAGCAAACTCACCACCCCAACTACGGCCTAGGGCAGCCCTCGAACGTAGCGCCCCCACAAAGGACACAAAGGAACAATAAGATGATTCGTCGGTTTCCCAAGTCACTAGTCCTACAGTATACACTATATAGGGCCCGATAATGGCCGCAACTTTCATCTCAGGCCACCCGATTCGTCGGGAAGGTCAGAGGCCGCCCGGGGCTCACATATCACGTCTCAATGGTCGACTGGCGTAGTGGTTATCGCGTCTGTCTTACAATTCACACTGTACAGTGTATTGTGAGTACACAGAAGGTCGCAGGTTCGATCCCTGCGTCGATCAGCTTTTTTTTGCCTTCCTTTCATACAAAAAACTATTAATTTTTGACTTTTTATTATTTTTTGTAGAAAAAAGGGCCCAAGTTGTCGAGAGATCAAACTGCAGCTATGCATATAATCCCATATGAAGATCTATTACCATCTTATACTACATAGGCACACATCGCTAGGCGCAGCCAGAGGCAGTGAGACGTCATTTGGGGAGTAATGGCAATGGAGGGCGCCGGCGCAGCCCTATTGCTCAAACAATCTCGAGTTCGCTTTAATAGTAATGTCAACTCCCAGGTAAGGGTTCGCGAAAGCACATCCTCTAAGCAGGAAGATCATATGCCGCCTTCTTTATAATACATACCACGATCACGCACCTGTATTTAACTACAGTTCCGAGAGAAATCGAAATGCGATGGAGCCTTACAGCTACCCGCCATTAGGTCCTAAAGAGATCCGAGTACTCGTTCTCCTGCCTGGGCAGGCGGGGGAGCCGCTCGAGGGCCACCTCTTATCTAAAATATTTGATCCGCCAAAAAGAGCCCCTAGATTCGAGGCGCTGTCTTATGCCTGGGGCGCACAGCTAGATGCAGAGGAGGTCTCTGTTATAAATAAGAGTAAATCACTACCACGAATCAGCTGTGTCCAAAGCCCAGGTTCCGTTTCAATAGGCCAGAATCTCGCAATCGCGTTACATCACCTTCGGCTTAAAGACAAACCTCGAACGCTCTGGTGCGACTCTATATGTATCAACCAGGGAGATCTCGCTGAGAGGGCGGCACAAATCCCCCGCATGGGCGACACATTCACATATGCCACTCGCGTTATTGTTTGGCTTGGTCCCGAGGCGGACGGCAGTACGCTTGCCTTGCAAGCGTTACCGCATTTAGGGAAGCAAGTTGTGGCTGACTTTCATGAGTGGACCATCACGCCAGCGATCGGCGCAGATCGATTCACGGGTTCCAAAATCGAACCCCCCCTTCTCACTCCAAGAATGGGAGGCTATCTGTGCTCTCGTTTCTCAGGAATGGTGTACCAGACTCTGGGTCTGCTAGGAGATTGTCCTTGCTAACTCAAAGGCACTGATTATCTGCGGCAATGCGCAAGCCAAGTGGGACGATGTAGCTTGTGGTGCATTCTGCATCCTTCAGACGACTCCAGAGCTACCAATGAACTGGGATGACAGCGTCAACGCAGAGTTTGGCCAAAACATCCAGAGATTCTTCAGCCTCGCGCTGTTTCGACAGAAGAAGGCAGTTTGCGCCATCAAAAACTTGATCAGCACCACCAGGCACTGCGACTGCTCCGAGCCACACGACAGAGTCTATGCTATCCTAGGCCTTCTAAATGGAAGGCACAAACTTGCCATCAAGCCAGACTACACACAGAGCCCTAAAGAAGTATATAGGAGCGTTGTGCTGTCGTACCTGGAGAAATACCATGTTTTACATATTCTAGATCTCTGCGAAATTGACGAAAGTCCGAGTTGGGTGGCTGATCTTCAACAATTGAAACGCCGCCCTGCTATATTCCCCAACTCATCTGCATCTTCCGAGGCTTGCGCAGTCTTCAAGGTTACTGGAAATAAGCTGGAGGTACGAGGGATATTCTGTGGTTTAGTCTCGAGCTCTGCGGCGTATGAGCTAGTGGCTAACGATACGAACGTACAACAAGTCGTGAGAGACCTGTCAATAGACTTCCTTGGACATACCCCCGATGATTGGAATATTGAATCGGTTCGAGCCCTTTGCGAAACGCTACTTTGCAAGAAGGTTACGGCTAAGAGCTACCCCACGTTTGAAGAGGTACTCCAGGTTCTCAAACAGTGGACCATTGGATATGATTCAGGCACGATTTTATGTTCGCCGGAGACGGAGAGAAAAGTCTCGAGGGAGATCCTCGAGAAGTTTGCTGGCCGGTCTTGCCGTAGAATGGATGACGGTGCCTTCTTGCTCTCTTCGCGCTTCCCTCAACCCGGCGATCTTGTCTACATTATACTTGGGTGTAGGGTACCCCTGATTTTGAGGCGTAATGTGGACTCTGAATACTCTATAGTTGGCCCATGTTATCACTCAAGATACATGTGCGGAGAAGCTCTTTTAGGAGAACTTCCAGCAGGATGGAGCTATAAGTTTAAACCAGACGAGAGATTTGCCATGTTCATCAACGAGAATAGCGGCATCTCTCGGAAGGTCGATCCCCGTCTGAGTGGCATCGAGCTGCCTCAAGGTTGGTGTGAAGGTGGCACTAGTGATACTGGCTACACTTGGTGGTACAACTTGAAAGAGAACCTGAAGACATGGAGGGACCCAAGAACACAGTTGGAAGCACTAGAAGAGCGAGGTCTGCAGCTTGAGACGCTTGTACTAGTATAGAGCGTTGTTATCCGAGTCGCGCATATACCTCTTGCGGTGATATTGCCCAATTTCCCAGTATCAATCTTTTGCCGCTCTCTGATTCTCCTAATGTAGAGCTGGTAGTTGACCGCGAAGGCTCAAGATAGCGTTCCGAACAGGTAATACAATAGGGAAGACATTGGAGGATACATGGTGTTGGGATGAATTCGATAAGTTGGGCGTGGGTTCGCCCGAAAGATCCAACAAGGACGGTTGAGATAGCAGCAACATATGCACTATACCAACTAACAAAAAGTAACACCTTCAAACTTCGTGGAAGTGTTCAGGCAACCTGGTGGAAATAGATGATTGAAGACTCATAAGAAGTATCCCTTGAGGAGGTTGATAGAAGTTCAGCCAATACAAGTAACGTCCGTACACAACTGGATTAATAGTGGTTCGTTATGAAGGATGTTGCATTGCCATGTCGCCAACATTGATATTAACCTGTTATACAAGTCTTGTATATTGTAGCCCTTAAGAGACTGTGTGAGGCGGGGGCCTTCAGTCAGAGCATTTTCTATATAATCGGATATTGCCCTAGGTAGGTCAGGTGCTACGACTCCTACGTAGAAGTCTTAGACCTCTTCCCCCTTTTCGCGCCTTTGCCCTTTTGCCTAGCCGTACTCTTCCGAACGCCGTTCTCCTTACCCTTATCCCGTCCATTACCATTTCTATTCTCAACGCCACCGTTGTAATCATCATCGTCGTCGTCGTCATCGTCAATCGTAATTGTATTTCCAGCCTTCCTCTTCCGCCGTTGTGGCGCCGGCGCAAGGCTCTCATCTTCCGCTTCCGCTTCCGCTTCCGCTTCCGCTTCCGCTTCCACGGGGGCAGAGATACTGTCTGCCACAGCCTTCGCCCGCAGTTTATTAACGGCTTCAGCCATGCGCTTGCTGCCCTGGACCCTCTGGCGTGGGGCAAACGCCTCCTTGGCGCCCACGCCAACGCTGCCCTCGAAGAACCTCGTGATGTTGCTCTGGGTGCCTTCAGCTTCGCGACGATTCATATCCCTAATTACCGGGACGAGAACCTCGTCGGTGCGGTCTTCGCTCCACCCGATCGTGTTCATCAGGAACTGTCTTAGGCCAGCCACGTCCGGAACACCCCACTGGAACTGTTCCGGGTTAGTATCGACTTCCGGGTGCAGGTACGCATCATATACGGCCGGATTCGGGAAGCCGGGGGGTAGGAACAATTTCGTGGCTTGGGACTTGCGGAATTTCCTCCTGAAGGCCGAGCCTTGATCTGCTTCCTTGGGTCGGTTGTGGATCTGGACGTCCTGCCACCATTCGCGAAACTTCACAAGCCCGTCTCTACCGGGAAACTCGGAGAGGATCTCGACGGCGGTCACGGGTCCGACACCAGGGAGACCTTCCGTGTAATCGGAGCCTAGCAACTGGGCCAGCGAAATTAGCTGTTCGCGAGAGAGTGATAGTTCACTCTCGAGATCGGAACTAAGATAGCATTCGACAAACTTGTTGCCGTTGAACATGTTCTTATAGACCCGTGTACCGCCAAATAGGAAGGTATCTGAGTCGTCCGTCACTATACCGTCGACCAGGCCAAGCTTTACGAGCTCGGCACATTGAGCTTCAGCCTCCATTGGCGCGGTGATATAAGGAATACCGAAGAATCGTAACAAGGCTTGGCACTCGGTAATCATGATTTGGGTAACCTCATCCGCATCTCTGCGGTCCTTCTTCTGTTGCGATCGTAGTGCTTTGAGTTCTCGCTCATATGCTTCTTGATTTTCCCTCTCAGACTTGTGATTCAGCTGGCTAGCAAAGCGCGCGTGCTCCTCAGCTTCCTCTGCCATTTGTGCGAGCAGCTCTTCTTCCTCGGGGTCACTGAACTCGTTGTCGTCAAACTCAGCGTCACCAAATATCTCATCATTACCAGCTTCAGCTTCGACTGCTGGTTCTAGCGTGGTAGGTGGCTCGCGAGCTTCCGGTACGGGTACATCAACATCCTCGAAAACCGGCTCTGGAGACTCTGCCGGGGTAATATTGTCATTGTTGGCAGACTCTTCTGGAGGTTGCATAACCTCAACTTCTTCGAATTCTGGCTCTGGTGAAGATGATTTAGAAGGTGACTTTGGGCTAGGCATGGCATCGTCAATTGCATCTACTTGAGAAGTAGTCTGCTCTTGTACGATGTCTGCACGTCGCGTATCCCCCATCTGGTCTTCCTCATCGGCAACCGGTGGATTAATTTTAGTTAAGGTCGCGGGAGATAACCGCGGTATACTTCGACCCTCTTCTACACGAGCAGGGGTCTTCTGGCGCGGCAACGGAGGTCCTTCAATGATCTGAACATCACTTTCGTCGTCAGAAGACTCAATCTCGATGATAGCGTCTTTGCGCCGTCGTCTCTCCTCTTCCAGGGCGACTTCACGATCTTCCTCATTGATCTCATTCTCAATTGCTCGTTGGGCTTTCAGAGACTCGCGTATGTCCGTCTCGTCTTGCATCATCCATGGTGGTAGCGGACGAGCTTTTTCGTTTCCTTGCGTTTCTATTTCTTGCGCCTCACCCTCTTCATCGTCTCGTACAAAACCACCAGCAAGCTCATCGCCAGAATCTGGTTCTATATTGACTTCCTTCTCAGCAAGCTTCTC